CGCAAATTGGTCTTATTTCATTGACTTTAGTTGTCCATCAACTTATTTAACATTAAAAAACAGCATTTAACGTAAAAATTCCTAATTTGAGCAAAGCCTATGTGTTGTACGAAACTTACGCCTCGATAATAAAATATCCAAAACAACCATTCCCAGAGTGGGTGGCGCCATGACCTACAGTACCATTAACTTTGAGAATGGTTTGCCATCGCTTTTAACTAACGGTAATTTCCAAGCATGGAATGCGGAGAGGTCAACCTACTCAAGATCTTCCAAACAATGTAGACTGTGTGGGTTATTTGGAAAATTATAAACATTTCTAAAACCAAAAATAATTATGCCGCTGAATGGGCTAGTTTCTATAGTTAAACCAATCGAAAATACGAGGATGAGATCGGATAAAATGTTCAGGCTGCAATCAAACAATTAATATCATCTAAATTTACTAATCAGGTCACAAACTATATCGGTGCAAATTATCGTTTCGAGTTGGGTATGGCGTTCATGATTCTGTACTTGTCTAAATTATAAATAACCTTGGATACAATTATCTGGGGGCTCTTCGTGCTTAGAGTTACAAAACAACTATCAACACGAAAGTACAAATGCATAAAAGCAGAATATAGGCTGGTTTACTTCAGACATAAGTAAACTAGCGTTGAATTTTCAAGGCACAGGCGGACACCTTTCGATGCATGCCGCTATTTATTCGTTTAATTATGGTAGGTGCACGGTACAATGGCACACGAAAGTGGTGGTAATTTAGACAGAATAACCTTTATAAAAGCGGCAACTTACTGAACAAACTTGTAGCCACTATATGCGAGGATGTCAAGATAGCCCAGATTAGACTGGATGTTCAGGAGGTAAAGCGCAAAAGTGAGGATACACACTTCTAAAACCAGCCAACCGAGAGACTGGCTAGAGAATATGCTTAGAGACTCCGGCGAAAATCTTCCGTCTACACCAAGTGCCACGCCAGCGACAAGGACGTAAGTCAAAAACGCCATTATCGGGATGTAGAGATCTGGAGAATTGAGGTCAGCGCGAGGAGGAACTGGTCCAGCAGAATCGTACTTCAGGTCCCAAGACTTTCAGAAACGTAAGACAAAATAGACACATTTCAAAATACACAATAAACTTGCAATAACAATCGCCATAGGCGGACAGGAAAGTGTAAAGTATGCATTCAGCTAGAATCCAAATCAAAAGCGAGTGAAAACAGAACTGAAGAACAATACATTTTCTATCCTTTCTGATACGTAACAGTTCGTTAACACTAATGCAATCACTTATATGTTAAAGTTCCGTCCGCGTGGGATGG